GTTCTGTTGTGTTTGTGTCGCAAGTTCAGTGACGCAGGTAGTGACGATTCTCTCCGGCCAATCCGTGATCAGCAGAGTTTACACGTCACGTTTTGGTAATGGTACGGTTCACTTGGAACCTCAACCGAGGTAGTACTAAAAAAAGTACCAGGAACAAGTACAGGTGGAAAACCCCCCAAAAGTGAACCGTACCATGCCGTACCATGCAGTGGAAAAGCGCCATAAGAGAGAGTTAAAGAACCTTTTAAGAACTATACAGGGACTTACAGGTTTTACGGTAGTGGTGCTGTATAGCACCTCATCGACTCCAAAGAACCGCTGAAGAACCATACAGGGGCTTAACAGGTTCTTTAGACAGTAGTGGTGCTATATAGCACCTTAACCACTCCAAACAACCGCTGAAGAACCTTTTTTTTTTTTTAGAGTGTACTATGGTGCCTTTTAGAGATTAAATTGCAAGCGATTAATTATTTTATTTTATCCTATATTTATTTCCTCTTTAAGGATGTGGCACATAATTTTATTTATTTATTTTTTTTTATTTGTATTTATTTTTCATTGTAATATGTGAACAGCCTGTTTTTGTTTGTTTGTTTTGGTAGAATAATATAGGTTTTTGTCATCGTATAATAATAATAATATATAATGAACTGGTAGATTCCTTGGAGTTTGCCAAAAGTGGTAATACTGAAATGTCAGAAATGTAAATGCTTACAGCACCTCAAGTGAACAAAATGTCAACAGAGTGAAACAGATTTCTAAAATGAAAAACTGCTGGCTGAACATTGACATGGTAATGAAGCACAGATCTGCGCTGTTTCCAGTCAATTCCTGCCATTTGGCCTTCATTAGACTCAGCTTCTGGGTTTGTTTTCGTCATGTGTTTTGTGTTGCTGGAGCGGGTGGTCCGTGTTTATCATGGAGCGAATGTTTCACTGAAGACTGTGGAAGAACATAATCTCCTTCATTTAGTGCCTTATTGCCTGAAGAAGCTCAGTTGGATTTGTCATCAACAGCCTACTTCTAGATTTTAGTTTTCGGTGTATTTGCCTGTGCAAAACTCACTGCAATGATTTCAGGGTGTTTTGGGCGGTTGTTAGCAGGTATCTAGAGTGTTCTTGGTGGTTTCTGTGGCTTTACCCCTACCCAAGTCCATAAGATATTCAGTTTCCTACTGTAGACGTGACTCCGGTCCTTCCTTCTCTAAATGCATGGAGTTGCGTGTCAAGGTTTAATATTTATATATCCGCAACATCCTCAGCTCCTTAGCAACCGCCAATATTAATTATGGCCAGGTCTCCTGCCGTAGGGTATGTTTGCTGAGCGATGACCTCTGTTACTCGCACCGGTCAGCCGGGCCTTTCGTTCTCTCCTGCTTTAAATCGTTCTAGGTTAAACTGTTGGTAAAAGAAGAGCAAAAAGTGCGAAGTTTTGTTTCCTTTGAAACGATGTAATGCATAAATGTCTCACACCAGCAGAGCAGCAAGTGAAGTTCAGAGATGTTTTTGATATGCGAAATAATTTGCATAACACATCCTGTATCTGCTAATGTCTGTTTCACCAGTTTGCCTAGATTTCATACAAATTCTGGATTTAAGAAACCGTATTTATTTAGAGGGAATTTCATGACAATAATTTCACAATGCAAATAACAAAATTATATTATATTTTAGAAATATCATTATTAGTTATTTAATAATTATATATTACATATTAAAAACATGTTTAGACAGAGTCATGAAAATAATGTCTCAAAATATATTATTTATTAATATTATTAATATACAATTTATTAATTTGGAATCTATTACTTAGGAATTTATTAATTATATTTAACTATATTTATACAATAAATGGCATATTAAAAACCACATTTAGAGGGAATCTCATGCACACACACACACACAATATATGTGTATATATATATTCATTATAAATACAATAATTATTATTTCTTTATAAATTATGTTTTACTATAATGACTGACTATATATTTATACAATATTACATATTTAAAACATATAGTAGTAATAATATTTAATAATATATTTATAATAATACCATTTATATTATATAAAACCTGTAGTAACTGAGTGTTTTGCTAGAACATTCATGATAAATAGTCATGCTAAGATTGGTAGAGTAAAAGAATCATTTTCACAGTGATGCACAATAATAGCCTACAGTTAATAAATGTTTATGTTGTACATTTTTCATAACAAAAACATTTTTTTTTATAATGTTAATTACATTTTTTACAGTGGTTACTACTGTCTTACTACAAGTAACATTTTCATGTTTACTATAAATGAACTATGTTAGCATAAGTAAGCTAAATATCAAGCTTTAATAAATTGTGCTGGATGAGGGAAGGTTTTGTATTAATATATTAATTCATAATTATTATTTTATTTATTCATTCTATTGAACTATATATTTATACAATGTTGCTGATATTACCATTATTATATTGTTTTCTGTTAATTTAAGAAAATATTATTAATAATAATTATATTCATAATACTTTTTTATATTATATTTTTTATGTATGTTTCGGGATTAAATTTGACCGGGATTTTATCCACGATATTCACTCCAGTATATTATGATAATCGCTCATGTTTTGTGTCTCTTTCTCCATCTGCAGGTCCACAGTGTCACTGTTTCCATTTTTTGCTCCACTTTGTGTCCTCCCTCACATCACACCTGGCTGAGATCTCCCAGCCCGACCTCGTCCCGACCATGGCGCTCTCCTCACGCTTAAAACTCTGGGAACAGAAGGGAGGTGCAGGACGGCTGCATGCATGGAGTTCAGCTCAACTAACCCGACTGCTACTTAACCCAGTTTATTAACCAGCACCAGTTCATCAATAATCACTGTCCTTTTGGAGATGCTTGTAGTCCAGCCTCAGTCTCACACAGACCACACACTGACATGAACTTGAATATGAAAGTCAAAAGACTGCCTATGTCTCTGTTTGTGTAAAGTAATTCAGTTCACATTGGCAGTGCCGTCCGGCAGCTATTTTCAGTCTAGGAATTAAACATAAAAAGTACAGCTTCTGTGATAAAGGAAAGACTGAAATCTGTGCTTGTCAATATTATATTTTAACTACATTGTCAAATCTAATAGCATCATGAATGGTATCACAATATCACATAGTATCACAAAAGTATCATAAATGTTGCTTATTTACCTCAACTCACATTAAAAAACTTTATACATTGTAAAAAAAAAAAATATATATATATATATATATATATATATACACACACATTTTTTTATATAAAATATTTTGTTTTAGACCTTCAAATGGCAAAATATATTGGAATATATATATATATATATATATATATATATATGAAGTACTTGGTGGAAATAACAAACATATATAATATTTATTAAAACCTTTCACCAAATGTCTCCAACGCTAAATTCATTAATATTTCATATCACAATTTTAAGCAGGCTTTAATTCTCACTGTGTGCCCCATGGTGCTGCTCAGTGGCTCTCTATAGTGGTCCACTTTAGGATGACAGGAGTCTTAGCATGGGTGACATTACTCTGTAAATTAAGGGTTTTAACTCTACTTGAATCTGTCATTAGGTCTTTATTATTCTAAACTAACCCTAATAAATTACTTTTCCAATTGTTCTCAACTGCCATGTGCACTTAACTATACAGCAGCATACAAGCTTCCTAGGCAGTTTAAGCTAGCTGGTATTGCAGACTGAATGCTCTCCGCTGGCTAGCGCTCATGAAGTGCAGTTATTGTAGGCTGTATCTAGTGTTTCAGCTCTGCTGGCCTGCTGAAGGACATCTACTGCCCTCAGCTCACATGTGTTTAATATCACTGCTTGTGCTGCTAATAGAGCGGCAAGGGCATCAGTGGAAACTTTCAGTGCGTATATACGACGCTTACTAAAAATATTGTCTCTTTAGTTTTCACCCTCATGAAAATTAACCATGGTTTTACTATGGTACGACTACCTGTAGTAGCCTACAGTATTTTGGTAGAAGATTCATGATAAATAGTCATGCTTATTGTGAAAGTAAGAGAATAATTTGACAATAATTATAATGTAGTAGCCTGCATTTGTTAAATGTTTAAGCTATAATTTTTTATGCCAAATAGTTTTTTTAATGGTATATTGATTTTTGCTTGTGGTCACTATGGTTGTACTACAAATACCTTTTTTATGTGTACTGTGCATGAACCATGGTAAATTGGAAATGAGGGATGTATATAGCTTCTTAGCATACACAAGCGAACAAAATATGTGACCCTGGAGCACAAAACCAGTCTTAAGTCGCTGGGGTATATTTGTAGCAATAGCCAAAAATACATTGTATGGGTCAAAATTATAGATTTTTCTTTTATGCCAAAAATCATTAGGATATTAAGTAAAGATCATGTTCCATGAAGATATTTTGTAAATTTCCTACCATAAATATATTCAAACTTAATTTTTGATTAGTAATATGCATTGCTAAGAACTTAATTTGGACAACTTTAAAGGCGATTTTCTCAATATTTTGATTTTTTTGCACCCGCAGATTCCAGATTTTCAAATAGTTGTATCTCGGACAAATATTCAAACCATACATCAATGGAAAGCTAATTTATTCAGATTTCAGATGATGTACAAATCTCAATTTTGAAAAACTGACACTTATGACTGGTTTTGTGGTCCAGGGTCACATATCAGGCTTTAGTAAGTTATCGTGCTGGATGAGAGAAGTTATTATTTTCCAAAATAAAAATGGTTTTGTATTGGCATGTTTGTTTGCGCATGTTTCTTAATATCCCTAAAACATGATGCATTTACTTATGAAAACTATTATTGTTGTTGTTATATTTTTATACTATATTTTTAGATTTCTTATTTTGCGTAAACCTCATTAAATTGTTAGTTTTATTTTTTACTAGAAAACAAGACAAGATATTAAAAAATATTTGTCATTTTTTTTATAACATTTTTTTTGTTTTCCAGAAGAAGAAAAAAATCTTAAAACAATATGCATAAAAGCTCTTTCTGATTCTGATTCTGAAAAACCTTCAAATGTCAAAATATATAAGAAAATGTACTTCAAGGAGCAAGAAAATGCATGCATTTCCACTCTTAAAATACAGGTTGGGTTAATTCAAGTGATTATGTATACAAATATATATCTACATACACACACACAGTATGTATTTGTATATGTGTGTGTGTGTGTGTGTATCTGTGTGTGTGTGTGTGTTAATATAAATATAAAGTTATCAAAGATAAATTTATAAGTATATCTTAATATTTATTTTAGCTATTTATTTTTAAATACTTTTAAATATTGAAATGAAAATGTTTTTTTTTTTGTACATGCATCAGTTTTATTTTTATTTTATTTATTTATTTATTTTTTCAATTTGTTTTCCAGATAAAAATAAAACATTCTTAAAACAATCTTATGTAAAATGTTATGGCAAAATAATAAGAAAATGCGAGTTTGCAGTGGGAATGTTGTTACCTTCTAAGCAGTTTTCCTGTGATTGCGTCAGTTAGATGGACAGTTTGTTTGTTTGTATTGATTCATGACTGGAGCTCCTGTATTCCTCATCCGTGAACAGATCAAGGAGGAGAAGAAGTCTCCCATCACTGCCGCACAGCCTCCTCCTCCTCCTCCTCCTCTTCTCTCCGCCGTCCCGGGAGGATTCCTCAAACAGCTGGTGAGAGAGACCGAGAAAGAGACACGCCACAAAGAGCCAGAGCTCAAAGAGGAGAAGACGGTGAGATCTCACTTCACTGGGTGGGATTCTGCTGGGAAAAGTTTTAGCAGGTAAAGCGGGTTATTTAACACTGAAGCGGATGGTTCCAAGGTGGTCCATCAGTTCCAACCAACTTGACCAAGATGATTTACCAGGGGGAAGACGAAATATTCTTCAGAATAAAATTTTTCATAACAACTGTCTAACTTAAGAATAGATTTAAGAATATTTTGTATTCCCCAAAACATTTCTTCAGCATGCTCTAAATTTGAATTCCTGAAAAGAATGTTCTTAGAATGTGTGAACTGCTGAAAAGCTTGGTTCTCGTAAATAACCACTTTTGTTTAAGTTTGGATAACATCCAACTTAAATCCCACAAGGTAAGATGTTTAATGCATTTATTGGTTTAAATTAAATAAGGAAATGTGTGATTGTGAAAAAAATAAGATGTTCTTAAGACAATATTTGCAAACCTTAGAAAGAGTTGCACTTACGAGCATTCTTAATTCTCAAACTTCTTAGAATTTATCTTAAGAAATGCCTTAACTTAAAAACAATAAGATGTTTAAAGAAAATATTTCCAAACTTAAGGTTTTTTCGAGAATTGCTCTTGGGAACATTCTTACAAACTTCTTTAAGAAAAGCTATAAAGATGCTCTTAAGAAAATATTGCTATACAAACTTTATCTTAAGAAATCTCTCAAACTATCTCAAACTTAATCTTAAGAACTGAAAATAAGATGTTCAAAAAAGAGAATTACAAGTAGAAACATTCTAACAAACGTAGAATATTTGCACATTTTTCAAGAATTACACTTAGGAATTTTTAGAATTCATCAAGAACTTAAACATTTTTCAAGAACTGCAAGAATTTGAATTGGATTCATTTGGATTCATCTTAAGAAATGGCTTAATTTTTTCTTTTTCAAAAGAAAAAAAATGTAAGAATTTAAGAATGTCTTTAAAGAACTTTCAAGAACATTGTTACAAACTTAATTTGTCTTAAGAAATGTCTTAAATTAAATTTTTCAGGAAATACCATTAGGAACATTCTTACAAATGTAGAATTTATCTTAGGAAATGCCTTGGCTTCTTTCTTAAGAAAAACAAAGTTTTTGTAAGAAAATATTTGCAAACCTTTTCAGTAACCTCTTAGAATCGTAAGAAATGTATTAACGTCTTTCTTAAAGGGGTCATATGATGCTATTTTAAAGATCATTATTTTGTGTATTTGTTTTAATGTTCAAAAAACAACTTGAAATCGCATCATATGACCCCTTTAAGAAGCTTCTTTCAAATAATTGATGGCACTGACTGTTATCGTTTATTACCTCACCGTTATGAGCTGGTTTTAGTTGGCTTTACCAGCAGGTGAGGGTCTTGTTTTCATGTGAAGATGACTTACACCAGACTCCTTGTGTTTTTAACACCCCTCACAGCCCAGGAAACTCAGTGACAACCTGGTCCAGAACTTCTTACTTCCCGACCAAACTCCACCGATACTGGAAGCGGAGATGGCACTACGAGCGGAGCAGCTGGTGAACGGGGAACGCGGCCGCCACACTGCGCTGACAGAGAAGAAAACATCCTCTCCCAGAAGGATCATGTCACCCGACCCAAAAAATCACAAAACTGGCTCAGAGTCCAGCACTCCAGAGGTCAGCTGGCAGGCGCAGATGCCCAGTCCCAAGACAGATACAGCCAAATCTCCAGCACCACCAATGGAAAAAGAAGTGAAGAAAGAAGAAGTAAAGGTACAACAGGAAGTTAAACCCCTGAAACAGGAAGTGAAAGAGCCGAGGCAAGAGCCTGAGGGTCAGATGACTGTAACCCCCATAAGAGAAGAGCACAAGGTGCCAGTGGTAAGTAGAACATCACAAATACACCAAACATCACTGCTATGGCATTCAGATCTACTGTGCATGACATCTCTAGTGCCTTCACCATGTCCAGAAGTGACTGTTTTTGTCAAGTTTTGGATGAATTCTGACCACGGTCTTCTCTAGGCAAGTTTTTGTAAAGATAAAAACATTTCCTGATGTTCTTAAGATTGGTGTATTGGTTTCTGGGATCTGAGGTCAACATGAAATAACATGTACAACCTAATGTGACATATTTCAGAATGAGACTGAACAGTCTGGAGTAAAAAAATAAAAAATAAAAATGCAAATATTATTATATTAATTAATATATTAATTAATAATAGTATTAATATTATTTTATTATTTAAGTATTATATTAATATTAATATAAAAATAAGTAATCATTTATTAAAATAATCGACTTTCATGTAACTGATCATTTCTCACAGTTAAAACTTCACAAATACAGCATTATTTCCCACAATAATGTATTTAACTTTATCTGTTTTTACAATCACCTGTTTTATTTACTACTGAGAGATGGAAATCAGCTTAATATTAATCAAGACACATTAATGTTAACAGTCAAGACATTACTGCATTAACTATTAGCAAGGTTGTAGCAGTGTTATTTTAATATTATTTATATACTATTCTAGTATTTATACATTTTTTAATACATTTTAAATTGTTATTAAAAATTGTTTGAATTAACTAATTTTTGAATTAGTTAATTGAAGTTAATTTAGAAGTTTTTGAAATTTTTATGTGCTTTTTAAATTAGTTTTTGTTATATATTACTATATTTAGCTTTGATTTATTTTAATTTATTAACTTTTTTTATTATCCAAATCTTTCTTGCAAAATATGCACATGGTTAATGAGGTACATAATATTTTGTTTTGTAAAGAAATATATTATTTGCTTTGATTTATTTTTATTTCAGTTTTAGAAATGTTAGTACTTCAACTTGTTTATTTCAGTTAGTTTTCCAAAGCAACATAATAATGGTATAAGTTTTTCAAGTTTTCAAGTTTCAATTACTGATTTTTTGCTATATTGTAATACTATACTAATCTAGTATTGTATACTTATTTTTTTGTTAACAGTAACAACACTGAATTGTAGTAAAGTTGTTTTACAGTATGTCTCTTTCTTTTTCTCTCTGCAGAGGGATGTGTGGTATGAAGCTGGCAAGGTGTGGTACGCACACAAAGACGGTTATACACTCGGTTAGTCACCTCTTATACCTGTGCTGGAGTGTCCACCTGACATTTAAGAGAACAGAATCTGTTGTTAATGACACGTTGTTCGGTCAGTTTTAGTAGTTGTTTTGGTTTATAAGTCATGTCTGAACACTAGACCAGCTCTCCTGTGTTGTTGAGTTGCAGGTAATTAATAGCGTGCTGTTTTAGATTATGCTATATTTACATATGGCCTTATTATTATTTTTGGGACTATCCCAGAAGTCACTGTTTTCGTACTATGTAAAAGCAGCCCCATTGCCTTCACTGTCTACTCTCGCTCTCCCGTATTTTAACTTAATATTGCTTAAAATATATCTCTTCTGGTGCAAGAGTCTACTCTTTGCATGAAAAGATGGTAAATGGGCTAACAGGCTCACAGGCTTATCTTCTTGCTGATCGGATCTGTGGTGCCGTTAGCGTTACTTCAGTTTAGTGATGAATGGGTTTAGTGTTCTTAGCTTATAAGGCTCATAGCCTCGCTAAATCTGCGCGCCGAGGCTGCCATGTTATACGATTCAAAGATTATTGCATAAAACACACAGTACTGCAGTATCTTCCTGAGCCAAAATCTGTCAGGCTCTAAAAAGAACAAAAGCACCATAAAAATAGTCCATGCAAGTTGTTGCTCCAAGTCTGGTGTGGCCAAACGCCACTGGTTTCCACATATCACGACCCTGTACACAAAATATTAGATTTACATTGAGTATTTCAGTGACCTTTGACCTGCCTTGCCTCTGATTTGTCTTAGCCACTCAGCTGAAGCCGGACGAAGGCACACCAGAGCTCCCTGACGGCAGGGTGAGGGTTCGACTGGACTCTGATGGATCCGTCCATGATGTATCCCAGTATGAGATTGAAAAGGTGAACTATTCAGCGCTATTAATTAGGGGTGTAATGGTACACAAACATGACGGTTCAGTATGTACCTCAGTTTTGACAATGTAATGGTTCAGTATGTTTTCAGTACAGCAGGGGGGAAAAACACAAAAGAGACAAAGGCCTAGTTAGATGACGCCGTGACTGAGTGTGGAATCATGGGAGTTGTGGTCTTCATCCCCACAGCCGAAGCAATCCGACGGGACTCGGGCAGAAATCATGTTCATGGATGAGCTAATGATTTATTAACGTAGTAGAATAAAGCAGGGTGAGGCTGAAAGCCGTCGAAGTGAAACGAGGCCACTGAATGAGCGTGACACACGGCTCGAAAGCAGCGGAGCTTTTATTATGCCACAGTCGAACGCTTCCGCTCCTTCCGGTCGTACGTATGTGGGGGAAAACAAAGCAGCGCTGTTTTATCATAGATACATTTAAAAGTTCTGTTATAATGCTATGTTAGAATGCGGTCGTCACCGGTCTATTAAAACGCATAACATATTAAAGCATCTTTGGTGTTTCCATGTTTTCTACAAAACAAAACCGGAAATCGAGGGGTTATGACGTCATTAGCAGGCGACACAATGACACATATGGACACGGTCCGTGTCTCTACTTAAAATTGCTTATTTCTCTGGATTTAAACATTCTTCGAAACAT